GCTCCTGGGCTCCAGTGATCCTCCTGCCTTAGCCTCTAAAAGTACTTGGGATTACAGGTGGAAGGTATCATGCCCAGCCTGGATGTTGTTTATTTTGTGAGTAGTTACTACGTACATAAAAGAGCACAAATCCTAAATATTCTGCCTGTTGGATTTTCACCAAGTGGACACACCTGTGTAATCACACCCAGATCAAGAAACAGAATATTACCAACACTGCAGACGCTTCCAGCCATTAGTCCCAGCTGCACCCCAAGGATAGCCACATACCTGGCCCTTAACACCATAGATTTGATGCACCTGGTTTTTGAACTTTATGTAAAGGTACAGCATGTCTACCTCTTTTGTTCAACATTATGTAAAATTCACCCATACTGTACATGTTATTTTATACTTTTGTCTCTTTTTTTCCCCCGGAGACAGGGTCTCCCTGTGTTGCCCAGGCTGGTCTTGAACTCCTAGGCTCAAGTGACCCTCCCGCCTCGGCTTTCCAAAGTGCTGTGATTATAGGTGTGAGCCACGACGCCCAGCACATTCTCCTTGCTTTTGTCCCACGTGTGAACATGCCACAAACAATCTATCCATTCCACTGTTGATGGGCATTTGGGTTATGAGATATTATGACTAATATTTGCTGGATGCTGTGTCCCCAGGACATCTGTACTTCTGATGGACTGGGTACAAATCTGGGAGATGCCCAGGCATTTATCCTGATTTAAGGCCGAGGAAACCTGACCCCCAAAAAGATTGAGCCATTGGGCGAAGGACCCAGAATAACTAGATTTGAATCCAGCTCCTCACGTCATACCACAGCATTACCTCCCAGATGAATTCAGAAAGCGCATTGAGCTAAAACTCTTGGCCAGGTGCGGTGCTTCACACCTGTAATCACTCTCGGCACATTGGTAGGCTGGGGCGGGCGCATCACTTGAGGTCAGGAGTTTGAGACCAGCCTGGCCAACATGGTGAAACTCCGTCTCCATGAAAAATACCCCCCCCCCCAAAAAAAAGAAAAAATTAGCTGAGCATGGTAGTTTGCTTCTATAGTCCCAGCTACCTGGGAGGACAGGCAAAGAATCACTTGAACCTGGGCGGCGGAGGTTGCAGTGAGCCAGATCATGCTATTGCACTCCATACTGGGTGACAGAGCGAGACCCTGTCTCAAACAAAACAGAACAAAACAAAACAAAAAACTCTCTTTGCCTCTCAGGTACCAGACGAGGTGGAAAGGAGAGTAGGCGTTTCTGTTAAACTAACTCAACATGCTATATGTAGACTCCAGCGATGATTTCAAGCCTCTGGACGCCATCAGGTAAATGTGTGCCCTGCTGGACTTTTGTGGAGTTGACAGTCTTCCAACATCACCACCTATTCTGACAGTTTAGAGACAGCTCAGTGCCTGGAGTACTGCAACTCACTTCTGACACTAAACACCCACGGTGATGAGCATCGGCTCCACAGCTTTAAGAATACGGGCCTTAATAAGACTTCCCCACCGCAGACACCACCCCACAAGCAGGGTCCCCAGACATCTGCACCTCTGACAGACTGAGTAAAAATCAGGAAGATTCCCGGGAACCCCATCAGGCTTCATAGTTCACTAGAATGACTCAGAACTCAGGAAAGCACTACACATACAGTTACAATTACAAAGGACACAACAAGAACAGCAGAGTAAGGAGCCACCTGGGGAGAGGCCTAGGAGGTCCTGGATGTGGACCTTCCCGGCCCTCTCCTTGTGGAATCGGGATGCAGCGCCCTCCGGGCACACTGATGTGTTAACCAGCCTGGAAGCTCCACCGAGCTTGGGGTTGCACTGTGTAGGCACGATTGATTCATGATTGGCCACCGTCTGCATATGCTCTACGGCGCCCCCCCACCACCGTCTGCATATGCTCTACGGCGCCCCCACCCGCCTCTGCGGAGTTCCGGCTGGATCAAACCCCAGCCCTCCAATCACATGATTGGTCTTCCCAGGGCCGGCCCCATCCTGAATCCTCTGCCTTTAGCATACACTCAGGTTGTTTCAAAGGGGCCCACGAATAACAAAGACATTCCTATTGCTGAGAAAATTCTGAAGATTTAGAGACTCTCTCCCACAAACATGGGTTGGCAAATTATTATACAATATTGTGTCTTGTAGGGTTTGTCCTGTCGTGGGACCACCCTGCTGTCATTTTTTCTAACAGAAGTGCCTGAGCCTCACTCAGTGGCTGTGGTTATGCTTGCTCTTCTTGGCCAACCGGCCTCCCCACCCAAATTCACATGTGGAATTCTCAGCCCCAGTACCTCACTATGTGATTGTATTTAGAGACAGGGGCTTTAAAGAGGTAAGGTAAGGCCAGGCGTGGTGGCTCACACCTGTAATCCCAGCACTTTGGGAGGCTGAGGCGGGCAGATCACGAGGTCAGAAGTTCAAGACCAGCCTGACCAACATGGTGAAACCCCCGGTCTACTAAAAATACAAAAATTAGCCAGGTGTGGTGGCTCACACCTGTAATCTCAGGTACTCGAGAGGCTGAGGCAGGAGAATCGCTTGAACCTGGGAGGCAGAGGTTGCGGTGAGCCAAGATTGCGCCATTGCACTCCAGCCTGGGCAACAAGAGCAAAACTCCATCTCAAAACAAAAAAAGAGAGAGAGAGAAGGTAAAATGAGATCATGTGGGTGGGTCTGAGTCCAGTGTGGCTGGTGGCCTTGTAAGCAGAGGCGATTAGGACACAGACACCACACAGATCCATGAGTGACTGTGTGAGGAACAGCAAGAAGGCACCTGCTGCAAGCCAAGGGTAGAGGCCTCGGGAGAAAATGACCTGCCGGCAGGTTGTTCTTTTACTTCCGGTCTAGCACAGTGAACAAATACATTTCTGCTGGTTAAACCACAGTAGCAAACAAGTGCACCTGTCTGATCCAACATCAGTGTTGTCCTGTCAGCTTGCCTCATATTTGCCGGATGCTGTGGGCCCAGCACTGGGTGCCTGTGAACACCAGCTCAGCATTGGTTCAGGAGCTGCCCTCCCACAGGGCCGTGAGTTGGATCACATTTCTCACGTTGCCCTGTTTTATCTCCATTTTCACTGGGCTTTTTTGGTTTTACTTTTTAGACAGCTACTCCCCCTAATTAGTTTGACTATCCCAAAATTTGATTTTTCATTTTATTTATTTATTTATTTATTTAGAGATGGAGTCTCACTCTGTCACCCAGGCTGCAGTGCAGTAGCATAATCTCGGCTTACTGCAACCTCTGCCTCCTGGGTTCAAGTGATTCTCCTGCCTCAGCCTCCCAAATAGCTGGGATTACAGGCATGTGCCACCCGCCTGGCTAATTTTTGGTTTTTTTACTTTTTTTTTTTTTTGAGACAGAGTCTCTCTCTATCTTGCCTGGCTAGAGTGCAGTGGTGCAATCCTGGCTCACTGCACTCGCCGCCTCCTGGGTTCAAGCAATTCTCCTGCCTCAGCCTCCTGAGTAGCTGGGGCTACAGGCACGCACCCCCAGGCCTGGCTAATTTTTTGTATTTTTAGTAGAGATGGGGTTTCACCATGTTGGCCAGGATGGTCTCCATCTCTTGACCTCATGATCCACCCACCTCAGCCTCCGAAAGTGCTGGGATTACAGGCGTGAGCCACCGCGCCTGGCCTTTTTGTATTTTTTTTAGAGATGGAGTTTCACCATGTTGTCCACGCTGGTCTCGAACTCCTGACCTCAGGTGATCCGCCTGCCTCAGCCTCCCAAAGTGCTGGGATTACAGGCGTAAGCCACTGTGCCCGGCCCCCACAATTTATTTATAAGTGAAAGGAGCAAGTAAGGGTTGTTGTTGTCGCCTGCCCTTGCCTTGTGCCTTCACTACATCCCCTGCCTCCAACTTAGCTCCAGAGTCCGGAGCGCAGAGCACCCTGCCCCTCCTTCCAGAGCCCTTCAGGGCAGGAAGTCTGACAGGAAGACAGGTTCTCACACAGGCACCACATCTCTTCCTGGAGCTGTCCTTTTTGTTTTTAGAGATGGGGTTTCACTCTCTTACCCAGGCTGGAGTGCAGTGGCACAATGATAGCTCACTGCAGCCTCAAACTCCTGGGCTAAAGCAATCTTCCCGAGTAGCCGGCACGGTTGTGATGTTTCGTCTCCGTTACCACCCACACCCATTTTTCAGGTGCAAATACTGAGACTCACTGCAGTGAATTGACTTGCCCCAAGTCATACAACTAATATAATGGCAGAGATGGGACTTTGACATTGGATCTCCACAAAGCCCTTGTTCGTGGCCATTATTCTGTTTCCTTCTGTCTCTTTTTTTTTTTTTTTTTTTTTTTTTTTTTTTTTTTTTTTTTTTTTTTGAGACGGAGTTTCGCTCTTGTTACCCAGGCTGGAGTGCAATGACGCGATCTCGGCTCACTGCAACCTCCGCCTCCTGGGCTCAAGCCATTCTCCTGCCTCAGCCTCCTGAGTAGCTGGGATTACAGGCACGCGCCACCATGCCCAGCTAATTTTTGTATTTTTGGTAGAGACGGGGTTTCACCATGTTGACCAGGATGGTCTCGATCTCTTGACCTCATGATCCACCCGCCTCGGCCTCCCAAAGTGCTGGGGTTATAGGCGTGAGCCACCGCGCCCAGCTTCTTCTGTCTCTTTAAAATTGTTCCTATGCCCTATGGTGGGCATGGTGGCTCGCACCTGTAATCCCAGCACTTTAGGAGACCAAGGTGGGCAGATCGCTTGAGCCCAGGAGTTCAAGACCAGCATGGACAACATAGCAAAATCCCATCTCTACAAAAAATTTTTAAAAATAGCCAGATTTGGTAGTGCATGCCTGTGGTCCCAGCTACTCAGGAGGCTGAGATAGGAGGATCACTTGAACCTGGGAGGCAGAGGTTGCAGTAAGCCACTTCAGTCTGGGTGACACAACCAGATCCTGTCCTTAAAAAAAAAAAAAAAAAGAGGCGGCTCTCATGGAGGCAGCTAGGGCGAGGCTGGGGAGTGCTGAGCAGCGCGTCGTGCCCTGTGCTGCCCAGACTAGCGAACAATACAGTCAGGATGGCTAAAGGTGACCCCAAGAAACCAAAGGGCAAGATGTCTGCTTATGCCTTCTTTGTGCAGACGTGCAGAGAAGAACATAAGAAGAAAAACCCAGAGGTCCCTGTCAATTTTGCAGAATTTTCCAAGAAATGCTCTGAGAGGTGGAAGACAATACCCGGGAAAGAGAAATCTAAATTGGATGAAATGGCAAAGGCGGATAAAGTGTGCTATGATGGGGAAATGAAGGATTATGGACCAGCTAAGGGAGGCAAGAAGAAGAAGGATCCTAATGCCCCCAAAAGGCCACCGTCTGGCTTCTTCTTGTTCTGCTCAGAATTCTGCCCCAAGATCAAATCCACAAACCCTGGCATCTCTGTTGGAGACGTGGCAAAAAAGCTGGGTGAGATGTGGAATAACCTAAATGACAGCGAAAAGCAGCCTTACATCACTAAGGCGGCAAAGCTGAAGGAGAAGTACGAGGAGGATGTTGCTGACTCTAAGTCGAAAGGAAAGTTTGATGGTGCAAAGGGTCCCGCTAAAGTTGCCGGGAAAAAAGCAGAAGAGGAAGATGAAGAAGACAAGGAGGAGGAGGAGGAGGAGGAGGAGGAGGAGGAGGAGGAGGAATAAAAAAACTGTTTATCTGTCTCCTTGTGAATTCTTAGAGCAGGGGAGCGCCGCAATGGACACATCTCTTACTTGAGAAGTGTCTGTTGCCCTCATTACGTTTAATTACAAAATTTGATCACGATCATATTGTAGTCTCTCAAAGTGCTCTAGAGATTGTCAGTGGTTTACATGAAGTGGCCATGGGCGTCTGGAGCACTCTGAAACTGTATCAAAGTTGTACATATTTCCAAACATTTTTAAAATGAAAAGGCACTCTCGTGTTCTCCTCACTCTGTGCACTTTGCGGTTGGTGTGACAAGGCATTTAAAGATGTTTCTGGCGTTTTTTTAATTTGTAAGGTGGTGTTGACCATATGGTTATTGGCTAGAAATCCTGAGTTATTAACTGTATATGTCTATAGTTTGTAAAAACAACAAAACAACCAAGACAAACTCTTGATGCTCCTTGCCTGGCGTTGAGGCTGCGGGAAAGATGCCTTTTGGAGGGGCTGTGGCTCAGGGCGTGCACTGTGAGGCTGGATGTGCTGACTCTGCAGTGGGCATCCATTTAGCTTCAGGTTGTCTTGTTTCTGTGTATAGTGACATAGCATTCTGCTACCATCTTAGCTGTGGACAAAGGGGGTCAGCTGGCATGAGATGTTTTTGTTTTTTGTTTAAGTGTGGTAGTTTTTAAACTGTTTTTAAACAAACTGTAGAACTCTTCATTGTCAGCAAAGTGAAGAGCCGCTGCATCAATGAAAGTTCAAGAACCTTCTGTACTTAAACACGATTTGCAACGTTCTGTTATTTTTTGTATGTTTAGAATGCTGAAATGTTTTTGAAGTTAAATAAACAGAATTACATTTTTAAAACTGTTCTCTATTATAACAGTCCATTTCTGACTCACAGCAGAGAACAAACCCCCACTCCGTTGTATTTGGAGACTGGCCTCCCTGTGAATGTGGTAGCTTCCTTTATTACTCAGTGGCCAGCTCACTTAGGGCTGAGATGAAGGAGAGGACTACTTGAAGCTACTGCGTGCTTTTGTTTGTGTCTGAGTGGCATTAAGATGAAGTCTGGAGGAGCTAAGAGAAGGACACAGGCGAGGTTCAACAGCCTTCCAAGGTACAGGAAGGTGGATGATGAGGACGAAGGCTGACTGACTAGGTTTAACTTCTCTTGTTCCACTTCCACCCCCTATTTTGTGTGCCAAATGTATTGCTAAATAGCAATTTCAGACCATCTGACCTTTCAAAAATTCAGGCCTTAGTTTTCCTCTTTCACACCTACCCCTGTGCTCCTGGTACATGTTATTTGTGGTGCCAAACATTTGGGGTCTTGAGCCTGCTGCTTGTCTCCTGGGCACCAGTGAGGTGAGGGTATGTGGGATGGGGTGGTGGGATAGGAGACAGTACCCATGTTGTTCCTACTTCTTCAAAACTCCAAACCCCCAAGGAAGATTGTAGGCTCTATCTTGGGCCACCTGAGCTATAGGGCAGGCTAATAGAATCAACCATTTCTAAGCACTAAATGTATCATGAAAAGTTGAATGGCCTATTCACAAGATTAGCTCATTCACTGGAAATGTAGATTGATGTTCAATGTTTTTAATCTGGAAGAAGCTTGGTTTGTGCGTCAGTGGTTTTATTAGTGGGTAGTGTAACATTTTCTCCAGGCTGGAGTGAGGGGAGATGGCCTCAATGGCAAGTGGTGACACTAAATGCCATTTTGAAGGCTGATGTGTACCTACATCATTACTGTCTGTAGCAATGAAGGATACGGTACTGTGTTGTGGGTGAGTGTCGCTATTGCCCAGCATTAATATTTGGGTGTGGATGTTTGAGGCTATGAGACATGCAGGGGTGTTTTTGTGGTATTTTAAGAGAAAGCAGCTTTTTCTTAAAATTCATTGTTCAGAAACTTGCATTTCTGGAGGCGGTGTCCTCTCCACCCTGTTGGGTCCTGGATGAGTACAAGCTATGGTCATGGTCACAGCCTGTTCATACACAGAGTATTCATAGCCATTCCGTCTCCCATCAGAACTGTCTGTCCTGAATGTGTTCTCTAGTTCTAGAAAATGACCACTAATTTAAAAAACTTGGTTGTGAGGTTTGCCCAGAGGCACTTGTTCTGGAATTGCCCCTCCTGCTTAAGCCGTGTCCTTGTCACTTGGCATTCTAAGCTAAAGCTTCTGCTTCCCAAACCATGATGTGCTAGGCCAAGATCTGGGAGCTGTGGCCAGCCTTGTCAAATGTGGAAGAGAAACAACCTGTAGTAAAAAAGGGATTTGTTAAGTGGTGCCTGTCTACCTTGTAACTAGACATACCAACCAGGGAAGGGCAAAGGATGGAAAGGTGTAACTTGTGCTTCTAAAGTAGCTAAGCAGAAGTAGGGAAGCAGTTTAGCCAAATGATTTTTGATTAGGCAAACACTGAGTTTTAAAGAGACTGTCAAGTTGAGGCCACTTGGTCCATTAGCTGGTGCAGCCAAGACCACTACTCAGCATTTTCATACTGTCACAAGATTGCTCCTCTAATGGAATAATGCCCTAGTTTCTCTTGAGATGCTGTAAGTGGCATGTTACCTAAGGCATAGGCTTAGCTTGATTGCTGGGCTCACTGTGTTCTTAAGATGCCAACCTGTTGCTTTCCCCCCCCCCCCATTTAAGAAGATAGTACCTGTTCCCTCTAACCACGTCACCCCATTCTTGAATGACATTTTATCCTTTGGAAAGAACAAGGCTGTGATGAAGTGACTATTGTCCGTGTCTCCTGTGTGTGTCTGTTCTTGTCACAATTGTATTTGGGGACATTGGATGCATTCAGTTTTCTGTAATAAAGTTTCTTAATCACTCTTCCCAAAAAAAAAAAAAAGGTGTATATATGCCTCTTTTCTTTCCTTTTTTTTTTTCGAGACGGAGTCTCGCTCTGTCTCCTAGGCTGGAGTGCAGTAGTGCAATCATGGCTCACTGCGACCTCCATCTCCCAGGTTCAAGCGATTCTCCTGCCTCAGCCTCTCGAGTAGCTGGGATTACAGGCGTGTGCCACCACACCCGGCTAATTTTTGTGTTATTGGTAGAGACAGGGTTTCACCACATTGGCCTCACTGGTCTCGAACTCCTGACCTCAGTTGATCTGCCCGCCTCGGCCTCCTGAAGTGCTGGGATTACAGGTGTGAGCCACTGCGCCCAGCCATAGATGCCTTTTTTCATAGTTGTGATCAAACTGTATATAAATTTTTTAATTCTTTCTTAACCTTACATCAAAGACATGGTTTTCCATATCATAGAACGAGCCTTTCCAGCATAATTTTTGATGGCTGAATAAATGTGATGGAAGGAACACTTGTAATATCCTTGAGGGTTTTTTATTATGTTTTTTACTTTGGGGCTTTATTCCTCTCTCTCTTTTGTTAGCTGACTCCTTTACGGTTAAGGGGAAGCTCAGCCGTGTAGTTTTTCTTGAACTTGAGAGATTGTTTGGGTGTATTCTGGGGTTCCCTTCTCATCCAATAATAGCCAAGCCAACGTGGGAAATGGCTGGCAGGCAGAGCAGGGCGCACACAGGATGACATCCTCTGCTGATATGATAGTGTGCACCCTGGGGGCTTTCAGAGTGACATGTGTGTCATTTATCACTATTCCAGGACATTGGGCACCAGGCCAGCCTTCCCGCCACAGGACATAGGAACGATTTCTCAGGAGCCCCCAGGTGCAGGAGAGTGAGAAGCCACACCCCTCCCCCTTTTCTTCTCAGGAGGCTTGACTCTTAGGTGTTCACCTTGGGAGTCCACAAAAGAGGGTTTTGATTCTCTGGAGTTAAAAACCCTAAATTTAATCCAATTCCTTTCTTCTACAAATGAGGAGACTGAGACCAGAGTCGGAAAGAGTCTTATTTGAAGGCAAAGCAACAAAGCTCGGGCACAAATCCAGGCCTCCTGATGTGAAGGCCAGAGCGGTCTGTGCCAGAGCTGAAATTTCCCAGGAGTTCTGGAAGCAAGGCTTCCAGAGAATGACCGTCATTGTCAGACCTTGAGGATGTGTTCTAAATACAGTATTGGGGAAATTAAACGGGAGTGCAGAATGGAGAGTCACAAGTCTAGAAGGAGGGTCTCTTCTCCGTAGCTGACAGGGATCTTTTTCATTTCCAAAGCTGTCTTAGCCATCCCGGGCTGCTATGACGGAATCCACAGACTGGATGGTGAAACAACAGGCATCTGTTTCTTGAGGTTCTGGAGGCCAGCAGTCCAAGATCAGGGCGCTGGCCAACTCGGCTCTGCTGCGGACCCTCTTCCTGGCTTGCTGATGGCAGCCTTTGCCCTGTGTGTCCCTGTGAGGACGGGGCAGGACTGGGGTGGGGAGGGGACAAGAGAGAAACAGAGAGATATTCCTTCCTCTTATTCTTTTTTTTTTGAGATGGAGTCCCACTTTGTCACCCAGGCTGGAGGGCAGTGGTAAGATTCCTGCTCACTGCAACCTCTGCCTCTGTGGTTTGAGTGATTCTCCTGCCTCAGGCTCCCGAGTAGCTGGGGCGCCATCACTCTTGGCTAATTTTGTGTTTTTAGTAGAGACAGGGTTTCACCATGTTGGCCAGGCTGGTCTCGAACTCCTGACCTCAGGTGATCCACCCACCTCACCCTCCCACAGTGCTGGGATTACAGGTGTGACCCACCGTGCCCATTCACCCCTTCCTCTTCTCATAAGGCTACAGTCCTGTCAGATTAGAGCTCCACCCTGATGGCCTCATTTAACCTTAATTATCTCCTGAAGATCCTTCCTCCAGATACAGTTACATTGGGAGGTAGGGCTTTAACTGACAGACTGTGTGGTGCTGAGAAGACATAATTCCATCCATAACAGCAGCTCATGCTTCTCAAACCTTGGTGGCTTTAGAATCCTCTGGACAGGCCAGGCATGGTGGCTCACGCCTATAATTCCAACATTTGGAGAAGCTGAGGCAGGTGGATTGCTTGAGCCCAGGAGCTCAAGACCAGCCCGGGCAACAAGATGAGACCCTGTGCCTATAAAAAATTACACACACACACACACACACACACACACACACACATACACACACACACATATGTTTTCGCCAGGCGCAGTGGCTCA